TCTGGAACCCAGCCAGGGACACAAACCAGGAAAAGACCACTGCACGGTGACTTATAATTGCAAGGAAAAAAACAAAAACAAAACATTCAGTTACCCAATAGCCAGAGAGTGGCTACATCAATTCACCAAAGTACCCTGTGGTCACCAGAAAGGGAGAATATAAAAAGAGACATCGTCATGGTAAACTTTCATCCTAGGACATGGAGTGGATCAAGTGTGGCATCAATGTCCACACTCCAGCTGCAGCGCTGTGTTGTGAGCGTGTGGATGTGGGACACGAGCCCAGTGTTGTAAAAACGAGTGGGTAATTTTTCTTTTTCAAAAGAAATTCACATTGTTTTTTCAAGTAGAAAGAAAATAATTTTTGCAGAAAAATAAAATTTAATGACATAAATAAAATGTTAATGTACTATTAATGAATAAAATATCTATCATAAAAGACACTTGCAAATGTATAGATAGTCCAAAAAATTAGATCAACAGACTAGGGGTGCAGCTCAGTGGTAGAGCATGTGCTGAGCATGCACACTGCCTGGTTCTGATCCCTAGCATCAAAAACAAACAAAAAGTCAAGTCAGGATGGGCACGGTGCCATATGCCTATAATCTGAGCGGCTCAGGAGGCTGAGGCAGGAGGATGGCGAGTTCAAAGCCAGCCCCAGCAAAAGCAAGGACCTAAGCAACTCAGTGAGACCCTGTCTCTAAATAAAATATGGCTCAGTGTTTGAGTGCCCCTGAGTTCAATCCCCAGTACCAAAAAGAAAAAAAAAAAGAACAGCAGTGTGTCCAAAAATTACCAATAATATCTCTTAAGTTGTGGACAATAGATTACTTATTCTTTGTTTTATGTTATTTTCCCTAAACTTTCTCCAAAGAGTATGTCTATATTGAGAATTAAAATACAGATACATAGATACAGAGATGGGGGATGGATGGATGGATGGATGGATGAATGGATGGATGGATGTGGGGTACATGAGTGGATGGATGGATGGACAGATGAAGAAAGAAAAAGAGAGAAAGGGAGGGAGGAGGGAAAGAAAAGGAAGGAAAGAAGATGGTTGGACGGATGGATGGAAGGATGGTTGATAGATATGTCTCCCTCCCTCCCTCCCTCCCTCCCTTCCTTCCTCCCTTCCTTCCTCTCTCCCTCCCTCCCTTCCTTCCTTCCATCCCTCCCTTCTTCACGGGGATGAAACCAGGAGCACAGCTTCAGCCACCCCAGACCCTGCCTCAGAGCCTGTGAAGGACGCAGACAAAGGCTCTGGGGTCTTGGTCTCCAGAGAGATGGGAGGTGAATTGGGGGCCCAGAAAGGTTCAGGTCTTCACTAGCAAGCGGAACCAGAACACCCATGGGACTCTCAGGGGCTCAGTCATTGGTTCCTTCACTGACTTGTGGCTCCTTGGCTGGGAGGGTGCACACGCTGGATGATCCCAACGCTGGACAATCACTGCAGTCACCAAGGAGCACCCAAGTCCTGTGGGAGCTCAGGGAAGAGAGTGGCCAGGCCACCGCCAGGCAGGGTGGGAGATGTCTGAGGCCCACTTGGGCAGTAGGCAGGGTGTCACCAGACAGAATGGGAATAAGGGTCACCCGGTCAGGAAGCAGCATTGGTGCAGATGCTAAAGTAAGGAAAAGAGGGGCATCTCCAGAGGCCAGAAGGCTTCCTTGTGGTGAGATGCACTAGGGGGATCTATGCCAAACTTCTGGAAAGAAGAGGGTCAGCCATGGGAGCCAGTCATATGGGGACCAAACCAGGTATTATCATCCTGAAGCTTGTATAGAACTTAAAAGAAAAAACAAAAAAGTATCTTTCTTTTTGCAAAGTTTATAAAAACAAGTTGCACAGGTGAGTCCCCAGAGGGGAGCCTCTTCACCTTGAGGAGAGTCCACCTCTGCACCGTGTGCTGTGGGGAACATGTAATTGCCGAGGGGTCTTAAGGTAAGGAGTGAAACAGTGCCATCTGCATTTTAGAAAAATAGCGTCACTGTGCATTGCCATCAGATCTCATCAGCCAAAGCAAAACAGTGCTCTGGTCACCAGAGGCACACCCTCCTGGGGTATGCAGCAGGGGCAGCTGAAAGTCTCAGAGACCCTGGCTTCTGGGTACAGCTGTTTCACTGACAGCCGAGCACCCACTGTCTGCCCGCTTCCTGTCCTTTCAGGAGGCAGGGATGACGCCCACCCAATGGTGTGTCCTGGAATGCAATGTGTCGTTTGGCAGTGCCAAGCCAGCTCTCCAGGCAGCCAATCAACCTACAGACTGCCACCGTCAGCCAGCTGCAGTGACAGGCCTTCAGTTTCATCTTAGCCCCCAATTTCCTCTTGGTTCTTTCTCTGGGCTGTGATAGGTAGAGACTGGATAGCATATCATCCCACGCCCTGGTGAAGTGCTAAAATAAAGGCACCAAGCCTTCAGCTTGAAGGCTCTTTGGTTAAAATGCTGCCAACTAACATATGCGACAGATGCTGAAAACCTGGAGAGCACAGGGAGCCTCACATCAGCTCCCACCCTGGGCCTCAGTGTCCCTGGCCGTGCCACGGGGTGGGTGGATGACAAGCCCCACCTGGGGCTGTGGATGAGAAGTAGCCTATAAAACTTTCTGTAAAGCTCTGTACACCTATAAAGTGCTATTAAAGTAATGACTATAGCTTATGAGGATGAACAGGGGCCCATTGGGCCCTCCCAAGACCCACTCCTTGGCCCAGGGGGCCTGGGAAAGCACAAGGCTACCCTTGACTCAAACAAGTCTCAACTGCTTTGCCATGGAGAGAGGCCAGGCAGAGGTGACCTGCACGGGCTGAGTAATCACCAGTGTTCCCAGGTACTTTTTGGCTGCAAGTGTAGCCCTAACCTCACCAAGTGCCACACATGTGCTGAGCTCCCGGCCTCTCCACAGAGTGTCATGAGTCTCCAAGAGCCCAGGGCGAGTTCTAGGCAGCACCCACAAACACAGAGGCCAGGACAAGTGAGGTGTTTTCAAGATTATTTCATAAAGAAGAAAATAGTGTGGGAGACTCAAGTAAGCACATAATTGGAGAAAACTCACTTTGTATCTTCAGGTGGCCCATAAAGTGCGGAAAGTCCTCTCAAGGAGAAAATTCTCCTTCCTGTGGGCTGTGAATCGATATTTGCTGTCAGTGTCGCTGACAGAGCCACTGTTACCAGTGTGTGAATTAGGATTTCTCCCTTTGGTATGATTTATAAAATAAAATAAACCACTCTGACAAGATATCAACTTTTAAAAATAAAACGTTGACGCAGAAAACTTTTTGAGACCCAGGCCTCACTCAAAACCTTGATCTTTTTGCAAACCTGTATTTCAAATGACAGAATGATCATGGTACAAAAACGTTTATTTAAATTAAATATTTTCAACAAATCAATATTCCAACTGTTGCAAGCATGCGTAGTTCTTATAAAAAGTGGAACACTTGAGCTTAATGTCTGTGGTGCTATTTTACAAGATTATCAATACACATTCTCGACTGGACTCCAGTCAATCATATCACCAATGATTTACTATTTATTACCAAATGGCATATACAGTAACAATGTAAAGATTAACCTTATTTTATAGGTGATTTTACAAGAAGACGTCTCAGGAGAAACATAGGTCAACAATACAAAATATAAGGTGAAATAATAGAAGAATATATAAAACACACTTCATACAGGCAATATGCTGCTGTCAGAAGACAGCACGTGTCTGTCAGCTGACTGTTGGGTTTGTTCCTTCAAAGGAGGTTTGGGGAGGGTGGGGATATTGGGGTGGCCAGGGCTCAGAAACACTTTCAGTCACAGTGAGTTTCTGGTTTGGGACGTGAACCTCGGGAAGGTGCATCAAGGAAGCTGCTCCAGAAATCAGCTGAGGAGGTGCCTGACCGGCGTGTGAGGCAAACCAGTCCCTCATGGCCAGAGGAATCACACCTGGGCTTTTAAGTCAGGGCTCTTTGAGTTAGGAACCAATTCAGGGTGCAGGAAGAGAGAAAGAAAAGCCAGGAAAGAGAGAGAGGGAGCCGAGAGAGTGGGAAGTCATGTCCAGAGGGGAAAGTGTGCTGAAATCCTGCTCAAGAAATCAACACGTTAGATGCGCTGCTTTGTTGCAACACTCTTTTAGGTCCCTGGCTCTCTGGGTCACTCAGAGCCAACAGTGGGCGGAAGTTGCCATTGCTGAGAATGTAGGATTGAGGCTGCACGTGTGTGTCTAGGAGCATGCATGGGCGAGCCTCTCAGACTGTACCCGCTCTTGAAGTGTGTGTAATAAAAAAGAAGAATTTATCTAAAACATATTTTTTAAAAAGTTTGAATTCAGTCTCATTTCCAGTGATGCAGTCAACCATACTGGTTAATTTCCCAAGTCAGGATGAGTGTCTTTGTCAAACTGGAAGACCCTTTGGGAATTCTAGGGCGAGGGAGGAAGGGAGCACAGAAAGCAGAAGGCCTGTGTCCTCAGGCTGGGCGCACGAAGCGCTCCCCAGGCTGCCGTTAATGGGCTCATCAATGAGAAGCTCCCTGCTTTCCTTTTGTAAGCCTGGAGAAAGCCCTGACTCAGAGGGACTCAGCTACTGCGTCCATCCTTCACTCTGCAGGGGCAGAGCAGAGGGAAGAGAAGGGGGGCAGGCTTGGGTTTCACTTTGCAGCAGAACCAAGACAGGACCTTAGGGCTAGGGTCCAGACCCAGGGCTCTTCTCACCCTCATTTGGAGCATCCAGAGATCAGGCTGTGTAAAAAAACAGAAGAGGGTCCGGTGCCGCCTGAATTCCCATCACTGGTTGTAAAGACAGGGACAGGAAGAGAGGGCAGGGGAAATCCTACTGGGAGACAGTCTTGGCAACTGGAGGCCATGCTCCTGGGATGTAGCCAAGGACGCTCATCTGAAGGAACAGAAGAGGCACTGGGCCAACAGAGCCTGCCTCCTGCCAGCCGAGGGTCCAGAGGAAAGCCAGCGGCACTGTGTGGTCTCTGCTCCACTCAGCGCACAGGAAGGACAGGGTGGCCAGGGCTGGCCCAGACTCCTTGCCTCTGACTCTAGGACACACTGTAGCTGTTGTAGTAAGTGGCAGTCGCATCAGCCAGGACGGAGATGAGGCTGGTCTCTGTGGGGCCCGATGGGGTCACCTGGGAGAGTGGGCCATGGCCACTGAGGGCGCCAGCCCCAGCAGCAGAGTCTGGGTGACCAGGAGTGTTCAAATACTGGTCGAACTCATTGCGATCCATGTCCCCTAGAAGTTCCACCTGGCTCAGTTGATCCAGAGCATCGAAGCCAGGGGGCTCGGGAGGTGGGGAGAGCTGGCCCAGGTGGGCCTGGAGGTTGGAGTGGAGAGGGTGGTAGGTGGCAGGAGAGTAATAGGCAGGAGATGGCGGGCAGCCAGGTACAGTGGACATCATAGAGACCCCCGGGGTCTGGCCAAGGGTCAGAGATCCCAGGGTGTGGCTGCAGTGGAGGGGGCTGGGGGCCAACTCCGGGGAGTAAGGGGGCCCTGGCAGGTGGGGCAGGTGGTGGGGGTGGGCGTGCTCCTCCTGGCAGGGGGAGGAGAAGAAGGTCTGCTCCGGCTCCAGCACGTCCAGGGGAGACATCTCCGGGGGCGTGGGCAGCCCATACGGATACGTGTCCACGCTGCCCGCGGCGCCGCCACCAGCTGGGCCCTCGTGGTAGCAGCCCCGGAGGCCGGGCAGGGCAGCGCCCGGGGAGTACTCACCCCTGCCCTCCTTCTCCCCCAGCGCCCCGCGGCCGCCGCTCTTCTCCGGCAGCGCGTTCTGGTCTCGCGAGAGCGAGCTCAGGAGGAAGCCGGGGTCCACGCGCTTGCAGAGGCGCTTGGCCTGCTTCTTCCTGCGAGGCCGGTACTTGTAGTTGGGGTAGTCCTGCATGTGCTGCAGCCGCAGCCGCTCCGCCTCGTCCACGTAGGGCCTCTTCTGCGACAGCGTCAGTGCCTTCCACGACTTTCCTGCTCGCACAAGCCAGAGAGGGCCACGCTCAGCAACTGCGCTACTGGCCTGCGGGTGCACCTGCTCCGCTCGCGCCTCCTCGCCCGGCACACGCACCGCACCTCACTCACGCCCTCCTCCCGCACGCCACCGCCTTCTCTCGGCCTCACATCCTCTTCCTAGCCCAGATCCCGCATAGAGAAGCCCAACGAAACCCTCCTGCCTGAACCCTGCACAGCCACGTCATGCGAACGCGCACAAAGACCATGCCTCTCCTCCAAGACCAAACAGATGACCTGACAACTAGAAACTGGGATCAGATGTCCGCGACAGGGGGAAAAAAAGATCTAACAACCACTATGACATTTATTGGGGGATATTTTTCCTCCTTAAGAGTCGATTCTAATATTTTTTGCATTTTGATGATAATTCCCGGTCTCTTAGGAAATGAGACCATAATATTTACTTATGACATAAATGTCACAGCCCATGTGTGAGGGAACCCAGGCTCAGTCAATAGTTTCACAGATGCAGATAAAGTCCAGGGTCTCACTTAGGTGAACACATGGCACTTCTTTACCTCTGAAGGTCCACAGGACTCTGCTGTATGAAGACCTGAGCGTGGCCAAAATGCTAGCATCTGTAGGCAACCCCAGAACACACAAGAGAGCCTCCCAGTCACCCTTAACTCCCCTAGGGCTCTCACTACAGTAAAAATACTATGTGTACCCAACTTAAAACTGTGGTACCCAAACACTCTGCACTGCCCAACACAGAGCTCTCTCTTTAAGAAACATCCCCCTCACATAACCCACTTATGCTAAAATGCTGCCTGAACTTGTTCCATTTGTTGTTCCTTGTCTGTTGTTTTGCAAGTCACTTTGTGTCTCTTCTCCATTTCTCAATGTACATTGTACACCCCTCTGGCTCCAACCTTTTCTGAGGGTCTCTTCTAGACCCCTTGGATCCATTCCTCCAAGGGTTGGTTCAGAATTCTACAACTTTAACATGTTCCCCCGCAACTCTAATGTATTCTGAAGTTTGAGACCCATTAGCTGAGAGGTCAAGGCCTCTGGCTAAGCCCTGTAAGGAAAGGGACCTCATCTTTCACCAGGCACAGTCAGCACAGGGTCAACTGCAGAGTCATGTGAATGGTAATCACCAGTGCCCAGATTGGCTGGCTCCATGGGCCAGGCCCTCAAAGATTTTAGGCTGGGGGCTAAGGGTTCAAGGAGGGCAATTATTAAAGGGATTCTCCCCCTTGGGTGAAAGTTTATAACTGTTACAGGGAATTGTTAATTGCTACAATTATCTATCACTTTAAAAAGTGACTTGAAGAGTGTTATGAATTCAAGATTCAGATCTACACATTGGTTTCCAGCCTGCAGCTAAGACCACAAAGCTCTTGCAAGAGGCCCATTGGTCCGGACACAATGTACACTGTATGATCCGAATATAAAATGTGACTCTAGTATCTAAATGTACTTGGATGTTGTGATATTAACAAAATACAGATTTGTTTTTAAATGCTACCAAGTATCTAATTGTCTTGATGTACTTTCTCATTCATAATACACTGAAAATACTAGTGTAACCAGGTGATATTTTGAAGTTTGGAAGGCCTATATTGGAAAAAGTTGAAACTCACATTCAGGTCAGAAAAGGAAGGGCTGAGAAAGACCATAGGGTGGAAATACTCATCCTGCTGCCCCTGGTTAACAGGTGCACAAAGTCCCTATTTTAGAAAGCAACACTGTGTGGGTTTCCCTCACCCAGTTACACAGGCTGTGACGCTAAACAGGAAGGAATTAGTGTCTTTCCTGCAAAATGAACTGTAACCTCTTGGAGTCTAGGTGCCAATCTAGACAGAGATCAGCTCACAGGAGGACTTCACCTCTTGAGTCCCTTTGCTTGACCCTTCCAGGGAGCAGGCTGTCTCAATCTGTAGGGCAGGTCTCCCTAGCCTTTCCTCTCCTCCCATCTCTGCCTGCACCTGCAACAGAAACCTGGGTACAACTAGAGGCCTCCTGTTGTGCTTGGTCAATAGGACCCACAGGAGAAAAAAAAAATGCTTTCATTTATTTAAAAATATTTTAAAATCTGAAGAAAATATAAACTTTTAGGTGGAAGAAAAAATATTATTGTATATATTAGCATATTTTTTATTTATGCTAACAGTACAAAATATACATTTTGCTATCTTGTACAGAGGAAAGTGCACAGGAAGGCACCAACCCACCAACACAATGTGGGCACATCTATACCACAAGACCAGCGGGTGGGCGAGGGGCTCCTGGAACCCAGCATTCCCCCAGCTGCTTCTCTGGGTCTCTAACTTGCGGAGTGCTGAGTTTTGCTGGCCTGCAGCTTTAGCCAGCATAAATCGGGGAGTCAGTTTTCACTCCATGGTTCTGCCAAAGGAAGGAGCCCTGTGCTCATACGGAAAAAGGAAGGGCTACATTCCCGGTGGGTGGGGTCGGGTGACCACTCATGTCCCTTCTCACAGGGCCTGGCGCACACTGTGAGCACAATGTACTTTGAAACACTTTCATTGGTTAAAATGAATAAAAACCAAGTCAAAGGGCAAAGAGATCTGAGTAAGGCAGAGTTGGAAATTGTTCAGCTTTAGGCATAGGAGAGAACATGAACCCCAGCGCCAGCACGGGTTTGTTCTGAAATGCTCACTCCCTCTTGATACCCTCACGTCCTGAGATCCCCACTCTCTGCCTCAGGCTTGGCCGGTCCCAGGCCCCAGCCTCTGCGGTGGCAGCATCGCAGCAAGAAAATGTAGGGCTCCAGAACAGACCCTGACTAGATGCCCTAACCATCTGCATCAAGTGACCTACACTCCTAAGCCAGAAAGAGTAATGAATCAAGTCTATTTAGGTAGACTATTTTCCCTGCTGTTTAATAATTAAGTTAACGCAAAGATTCGACCCGCAAGGCCTTCCTTTACGTATATTCGTTTTAGCTTTATCTGTGACGATCTCCCTCTGATTGTCCCAGTCGTACAGTGCAGGGAATGATGGATCTTCCCGCTTCAGTCTTCCCAGCAAAGGCCGGTTCCACCCAGCCTCGACGTTTCCGTTCTGGCTCTCTATGTGCGCGGGTCCCTGTCGTCAGACTGCCCGGGCTTGGCCACTGCTGTGTCGCTCCCGCCCAATGGGGCCCCTCTCTAGGCTCCAGTCCCGAGGAGGGGCTTCCCCGGAAACCTGGGCTGGTCGCACGGTTTCGCTTTGGACCTCGCCGGTCAAGATGTCCAGGCTCTGATTCCCGGCACTGCACGCACCCACGCTCGCACAGATGCCCAACCTCGCCCTCACAGCTAGCGCTGAGTCCCCACCCGTCGGGTGGTACCCACCCTCCACGAGCCCGCACCGGCTAGACTCAGGTCCGCCGCGCCCCTGGCCCGCTGACCTCCGGGTGCGCCCAGCCCGCCGCGGGGCCGCACGATCACTCACCCAGCATCTTGCTGAGCTCGGCGTTGTGCAGGTCCGGGTTCTGCACCGCCAGCCGTTTCCTTTCGTCCTTGGCCCACACCATGAAGGCGTTCATGGGCCGCCGGATACGGCTTTCCGAGCCCTTGTCCCCCGGGGGGCGGGGGGCTGCTGGCGGCGACAGACCATCAGACAGCTCAGCTTCCAGGGCGGGACACTCGAGCCCCTCGGGCCACGGGTAGGCTCCCAGCAGAGAGGCCATGGCTGCACGGGGGTTGCTTGACTTCGCCTTGCCGGGCCTGCGCTGACCTGGCCCTCGATCGGGTCGGGGCGTCCAACTTGGCCCGCAGCCTCGGCCCGGCCCCTTATTTATCAGCTTCGGACGGCCGGGTCCTCCAATGACTCTCGAAGGCGGCGCGGCCCCTCCCTCGGTCGCAGCGTAGCCCCCTCCCTGCGTCCCCGGCGGCTGCCGCGTCCCGGCTCCGACCTGCCGGGAGGGGTGTGGAGGAGGGAGGACCTCTCCCGCGCCCGCCCCCGGCCCGCCCCTCGGCCTCCCAGGCCCGCCTGGGGATCCTCGCCCCTCCCGCTCCAGGCCGCAGGTGCCGCAGAGCGGCCAGGCGGGCGCAGCAGGCGGTCACCGCGGCTGGGCTCCGGAGAGGTCTGGTCCAGCCCCCAATCCCAACGGACCGCGGCCTCAGAGGGCCGAACTCCACCAACTCCGCCCGCAACGGAAAACCGAACCCAAACAGCTTCACTAGGATCGTCCGGGCGCGGGAGACGCTGACCATGAAGCCCCCCGACCCCCAGATCAGCCAGTGAGCCGTTCTTAAGCTTTTCTAAAATGACCGGGCTTTCAGCCACCTCTCCCCAGTGAGCTTGGGCCGCCACAGACGCTGGCCTGGGCTGGTGGGTGCACCGGGTCTCGCCCTTTGTGCAGTGACCTCGGAAGCCTCCCCACGCTGCCCATGCCCACTAGCTCTCGGGCGGGCGTATCTGTAGCCTCGGTTCTCTGCCATCTGATTTTTCCTCTTCTTGTGCCCCACCTCAACCCCAACCTGGTCTCGGGGTGCGAGTCTCCAGCTCCCTCGCCTCTTCCTTCGCGGAATTCCGTTCTTGTATTTTTTCCGACTGAGTGGAGTTGGTCCCGCATGATGCGACCCCTACCCTTCGGTGTAACCCGTGAGCTCCCCCTGTTCCCCACATCCCTTCCTCCCAGGGTAGAAGGGTTGCGCGTTGGAGCCCATGGCGGTCTCTCTCCGGCAAGGGCCACTAATCTCATGTCACCCTGTTGGATTTGATAGGGCCATTCCCACACTCTTACACCAGCGCTGGCACACAGTAGGCATTCAAGAACTGCTGGATAAGCGAATGAGTAAATGAGCGAGCAAATATGGCTTACACACACCTTACTGCATAAAAAACCAGGGCAGGCTGAACTAGATCCTGGAATTCAATCCACAAATGTTTACGGAGCACCACCCCTGTGCTGAATCTGCCGAGGTGACCCTGGAAGGAGGCAGCATTATGGTGGGAGGGTCGTGGAGTCCGGAGTCAGAACCTGCCTTGGTGTGTGGGTTACTGAAGCCTGAGGCATCTCCGAGGCCTCCTTTCCTAATATTGAAATGGGGATGATAAGACTGACCTCATGGGACTAGTGGTGAGGATTCGCTGAGATAAATACAGTGAAAGCTCACACTCCCTGCATGAGAAGTGACGTCAACACAAGTCTGGACTGAAGTCCTTAAGTCCCAGCGTACAGTGACCGAGTTCACAGACGCCTTGCCTTGCATGCAACATGACCGCTCAAGGAAGTGGGGCGTTTTTCGTTTTTTCCGTCCTGATTTTAACCTCTAGAGCACCAGATAATTCTGATCCTGGCACGCATTTAATAACATAAAATAAAATAAAAAAGATTCCTGGGGCTGCCCCTAACCTGAGCCAGGATTCAGTGGCAGCGCCATAGGCTCTCATGCCCCACCCTCTGCTCTCCAAGGCCTGGGCAGCCTAGACAAGGACTTGGGGCCAGGCGCGGCACCGTGTCGCATTGGCTTGGAAAGGGCTGTCCCCAACAGGGAGAGCATCTTAAAACCTGAATCCCCGCAGCGGGTCAGCCCGGCGCCAAGCGGGAAGGCTGTTTGCAGGGGTATCTGCCATGTAAGCCGACTTCTCTATCCCAGGAAGCCTAGGCCTTATCAGCGATGGACCCCCAGGCTGCAAATTCTTCCAAGAAAACAACTTTAGGCCAGAATGCTTCTGGCCAGGGTCATGGGCTGCGCCCTGCCAAGCAAGTTAGTACTTTGAGAAGCGGGACTACGTGTCCCACAGGAGAACCGGAGCACCTCTCCCTGACTCTACTGCCACGCTAGGATGCTGTCCCGCAGAGTCAGAGAACTCGAGGGAACAGCGCTGCCTTTCCAGCCGCGGGCATCCTCACTCAGGCCCTGGTCCCTGCCGCCCTCCCGGAGCAGCCCCGGAGCCGAGCGCGCACGCCCAGGGGTGCGCCCAGACGCCAGGTTAGGAAGACGCGCGCCCAGGGAGCGCAGAACATTCAAGCTGGACTCCAGAGACTAATGGCAAAGATACAGAAAACAACCGGCGAGGAAAAATCCCCACGTGTTGTGAATGTAGTTTCCGGTTGTTTAAGGTTTTGCATTGAAGTCTGGAGAGCGCTCCTGAGCCCGGGCTGTCCAGGAGCTGAGCTTTTGCCGCTCCCTCCCTCGTGCGGGCCGGCTACCTGCACACCCGAACCCCGTTGGTTCGCTCGCTCCATTCCTTCATCTTTTGCATCAATGCATTTATTCATCTGAGCAACTGTGTCCAAGCGCGCCTTGCTGCGGGCGGCGCCGAGGGACTCAGGGTCGCGGTAACCCCGCCGCCTCTCCAATCAGCCTTTACAGAGCCTCGCAAAGCCAGGGCTCGGAGGGCAGAGTTAGAGCACCTGAGCTCCTCGCGCCTGCCAAGTCATCCCGATGCCTGTTCTGGTCGGCGCTGGCCCAGGACGTCAGACTCTCCAGTCTGTTCTCGTCCGCGGTTCCCCAGTCGAGGTTGTGCTGGAATCTTCAAGAGCGGATCAGGGGGAACCAAACGCAGAAAAGTCAAGGCGCAGGGACTGCAGCGCCAGGTCCTGCGGGGATCGGATAGCGGCGAGATGGGATGAGATGGGATGAGACCCACTGGGCCCAGTGTCCCACCGCGCAGCGGTGTCTCATAAATGGTTTTCTTTTCTTTCCCTTCCCTTCATCCTTGTTCCTCTCTCCCTTCCTTATTCCTCTCTCCCTTCCTTATTCACTCTTCCCTCACTCCCTCTTCTTTTTCTTCCTCTTGTCTCCCTCCCTCCTCCCTCCTCCCTCCACCCTTCTTTGTTAGCTCTGTAGTTCTCTGAACTCTGGTTTACAGGAATGCAGGACCTGAAATCAGAAACTCCTAGGTCCAAGTTGGTTGTAACTTGCAGTGTAAGAATTCAGCCTCTCTTGGTTCACTCTAAAATGAGCATAATACGGGTCACTGATAAGCCATCTGTGAAAACTCCTCACAAATGTTAATATTGGGTGGAATATAAAAAGTGTGAGTGGGTGAATTTTAAAAGTTAAAAGGGTCAGGCCTTCAAAGCTTGCCCCTCCAGGAGCTTCCCTTATTCTGTTCCAAACAGTCTTTTAGTGAAGCGGGGCAAGAAGAAAGGGAGAGGGAGGGAGAATCTGTGGTACATTCCTTGCACTGCCCGATAACCCTGGCATCCACTCCAGATGGCTACAGACTTGGCACTTTCAGCTTGCATACAGTGTGGCCCTGGTGTGGCTGTGGCACCACTGGCCAGGCCAAGGGTAGGGCCACAGTGTCTGCTTTGGAGGACTGCCATAGCCCCCACGATGGGCTGGAGCAAGTTGTTTCTTGCCCCTCGACCCAGGCTGGCAGTAGAAATCATGCTCATCACCATCTTTGTTCACACTGATTTGTCTGGACTGGATTGACAGTCTTCACAAAGCAAGTTCCTGCCTCCACACAACCATCTGTGAAGCGGGTGAAGCAGAGACCTCAACTCATATCTCTGACCCTCCAGCCTTTGGAACTGGTTCCTGTGTGCCCAAGGGAAGGGAAGGGACACTCACCAGTCACTGCATTCCTTTGCTCTTTGCCCTGTCCAGTCTGACCTCTGGAAATTCTAGCAGACCTTTTCTCATCCTCATAACTCAAGTTAGAGGCATGTTCTGGACAAAGTAAGTGAAAACCAAGTATTAACCCAGTTGGCCACAGGTGCAGTGTAGCTGGAGAACTGGAGACCTGGCCTCTCTCTTGTCTCCTCCGTGGCTAGTCTAGAATCAGCAGCCCTAATTTCCTTAAGTCACTGCACTTGGAGTTCCTTATTTTAACCTACAGACATCTCTTAAGTCATTTAGGAGAATCCATCAAAGCTCCTAATTTAGAATGACTTCTGGGGTGAAAATACAGAGCAGGGATTTGATGTGCGCCTGAGGCTTAACTGAACCTACAGAAGCAGGCAGAACCCGGACAGAGTTTCTCAGGCTCTTGGGGTCAATATCTCTTCCATATGGACCTAGAGGGGAAAGGGGAAAGGAAGAGAGCTTCCATACTAGATTGCTTCTGCACATGGGTAGTGTAGACTCCTTATAACATCAACATCTTTTGTAAGAGTTGATTAATAGTAGCAAAATACTAAGTACAGAAACCCATGTTTTCTTGGGGTTCCCCAAATCAAGACAACTGTGTTCCTATAGCACCCCCACCCCACAGACCTGTCAGTTCTCCTGCCAGACAAATCACGCCTCCCAGGGAGTGTCTGGAGACTCCTTGGTGGGAAGAACCCTGACTGGGAGCCAGAATCCATGACTGCAGGTTGACCTGCCACTACTGGTGCAAACGCTAGTAAGTCACTTACCTGGTTAATTCCCAGGACCGGAGCCTCACCGAGGCCCTATGAGGTGAAGGACGTGGCCAATTCTGTGCACTCTCCAGGGCAGACAAGCCGATAATGCTTGTTGTGTTGCTAGTGTCTGCTTCTCCCTAGCACTGAGGGGCAGGAGAGTTCCAAGTGAGGAACAAATTTTTTCTACCCTAATTGTCTTCCTTTGCACCTAGAATGATGATCAGGTTTCCTCGAAGGGGGCATGTGCCCAGATTACTGCACACCTATGATCTTTATTTAATTGACCTGAAGCTAAACTTTCAAATTCAGTGGCAACATCAACAAATGACAAGAAGACACCATGGCTGGTTCAAAGGAAATTTTTCTTTCTCTTGACCCTACTGTTTCCTTCCCAGTGCCCAGAGGAAGAAGAGCAAGCGAGCAGGAAACACCTATAATAATCCGAGTGGAAAA